CCAGATCCTTATGGTACCCTCTACCTGTTTGGCTCGGCACGCAGTCTCATGTGGCTGTGCCTGGCTAGAAGCTTCGCCTGTGCTGGTTGGGATTTGGACATCAAAGAAGGCAGATGGCTCTTGAGCTCATTCTGAAGTGTTTCCAGCAATGTCACTCTAATTTGAATCTCTCTCTACCCTGCTGTTGATTTTTCCTGAAAGATGTATGGACCTGCCTCTTTGAGTCTTCTGTTCCTCCGTCAGATTTGGTTGAAGCTGGCTAGAGAGTCAGAAGATGCCAGGGCAATCTCAAGAGGTCAGGCGGAGACAGGGTTATCTTTAGTCTCATTTCTATGGGAAGCCAGGTTAACCAGAAGTGAAAGCCACAGAAAGGTGGCAAAGGAAGTATCGTTTTTTTCTTGCCTGTAGGAGGAATGATACGGGGCACTGCGATTCTCGGGCTTGTTTACTCTATCCTTGCAAGATTTGCTAAATGCAAGTACTGAAGCTACCAGCTTGCTGGTGTGTAGCTTTGATTTAAGTTCAAGCTGAAAGCTGCTCACTGGTTGTCGAGTTTCAGAAAGGTGAGGCATGTGAGCTGTTGAATCCTTTCTGGACTATGTGTGAAAATGACTTGGATGGTATCTTGGGTACAGAGGGCCGAAAGAAAGGAGGAGAATCCTGGATACACAGATCTTCTTTCTGTAGGGTTTTTGGTATGCTGGTCTCCTGTATTTGGCCATGGCTCTACCATTGTCCTCCAGCATATAACACAAAAGTAGCTTTTGCAACATATGTTAAATGCCATGATAAACTTAGCTCTGGAAATTTGATTTTTTTATTTCATTTTACAGTGCTTAATGTTCTTGAGTTATGAATTGGAGGTGGGGGGAAGGATTGGAAAGGTACATTGAGAGAGGTAGTGCTCTCCAGTATTCAAGTCTGAGAAAGGTGTGTGTTGGTAGGAAACACTCCGGCACCCTCATTTGTCTTGTGTGTGGTTCTGACCCATTGCTCACCACTACACAATGCAGAGCACACAAAGTGGCTGCTGAACAAGGAGCTTTGACAGTCTCCTCTTGTTTGTAGGTTTGAACGGTCCATGTTTCTGGAAGAGACTGCTAGACCATCGGGCAGTCAGCTTGCCTTGGCAGTTCAACGTTACTGATGGACTGCTTTAAGCAGAAATGAGCCCTGGGGTTGAAAACAAGAACACCAAGCCAGAAAAACAATTAATTTTAAAAATATTTGTACCCCATTCCCTGAGAGAAGTTTGTTCGTATCTTTGACTTTCTCCTTAGGTTTGGGAGGAGCTGCCATTGTGGCTATTAGGAAGGTTCTTACTAGGAGTGAGGTTATCCAGTTATGACAACTTGATTTGAGGACATGCTTTTCATTAATAGTTTACTGCTTGTGTGTAGCCAAGGGGCATGCCTCGGCTGGGTAATTGGATTTGGAAGGCTAGCGTTTGTAGCAATTGTGGCACTTCTTGCTGTGAAGCCAATTTCTGCAGCGATGCAGCTGATACAACACCGAGGCAATCTGTTACAGCGCCTTTGTTCCACGGATGTCTGACTGGTGTGAAAAATAACCACAGCAAGAGACTTTCCTCAAGAGCATGCCTACTTCAACCATAAGGAAGCAAAATCAAGACCTTGTTCTGTATCTAAAAACAATTCAAAATGTTTTCGGGAAAAACTGACAGAAATGAAGCTCTACAAAGTCTTTAGCAGCTTACACAAATTTACTGTTCATGTCTTGAGATCCTTTACAACGTTCAGAAGGCTGTTTAGCTGCGACCTGGAACCTTTTGTTCCTCATTTCTATTCTTATTAAATTAAAAAATGAGAAGTTGGCAGTAGGTTTTTACCCAGCTTACCTTGTTTACTGTCCATACATTCCTTGCAGGTACATTTTGTGACACTTCAGTCTATGTTTAAAAATCTCAAGCAATCCAAGTCTTCTTCACTTCTCTTTAAAAATAGGGCACAAACTACTTCTTTAGACGCTCAATTATTTTATCCTAGTTGCTGATTCTGTCAAATTCATACGGTTTCTGAATCTGATGTGCCCTCAGACATGGAAATGCTAGGTTTAAATCAGCCTTACACACTTCGGGTGATATCCAGGCCCTGTGCAAGTTGGTTTTAGCTTGTGGCTTCAGGAAGCCCTGAGCTTCTCAGGAGCCCTGATGCCCTTTACACGGCAATGTTCTTGTATCTCTTTGTGATATGCAGGTTATCTAGAACTAGAACTACAATTATAACCAAGTGCACTAAAAGTGATTGCTAAGAGCAGCATATGTGATGCAGAGAATGCTGCTTTCCCTCAATCTGCCTAATGATTTCAAAGAATAAATAAGGAAAATGTTATATATTCTTTTATATGCATGCAGTGTTGAGATTTTCGGTACCAGTCCACTGTTTACCCTTTAACTCGCGCTTTGTCTTCCTGCCGGTTTTGTGTGTCTGGTCAGTACAGCAGTGCTGATTTTCTACCATGGTTACAGGGACTGCTTTTTGTGCTTCCTGCTCTTACCTTTCCTGTTGCTGTCCCGTGTCCTGCCTCGCTTCCCCAGCTCTTCCCCTCAGCCGCTGAAATAGTCTCTATTATAGAATCTTAGAATCATAGAATCATTAAGGTTGGAAAAGACCTTTAAGATCATCGAGTCCAACCGTCAACCCAACACCACCATGCCCACTAAACCATGTCCCTAAGCGCCTCATCTACACGTCTTTTAAATACCTCCAGGGATGGGGACTCCACCACTTCCCTGGGCAGCCTGTTCCAAGGCCTGACCACTCTTTCAGGAAAGAAGTTTTTCCTAATGTCCAGTCTAAACCTCCCCTGGTGCAACTTGAGGCCATTTCCTCTCGTCCTATCGCTGGTTACTTGGGAGAAGAGACCAACCCCCACCTCGCTACAACCTCCTTCCAGGTAGTTGTAGAGCACGATGAGGTCTCCCCTCAGCCTCCTCTTCTCCAGGCTAAACAGCCCCAGTTCCCTCAGCCGCTCCTCATCAGACTTGTGCTCCAGGCCCTTCACCAGCTTCGTTGCCCTTCTCTGGACACGCTCCAGCACCTCAGTGTCCTTCTTGTAGTGAGGGGCCCAAAACTGAACACAGGATTCGAGGTGCGGCCTCACCAGGGCCGAGTACAGGGGCACGATCACCTCCCTCCTCCTGCTGGCCACACTAGTTCTGATACAGGCCAGGATGCCGTTGGCCTTCTTGGCCACCTGGGCACACTGCCGGCTCATGTTCAGCCGGCTGTCAACCAGCACCCTCAGGTCCTTAGGATGTTCCCACACCCTCCTTAGGAGCATGGCTCCTGGCAGCGGCTGGGGTCTGGGGTCTGGTAAGGAGCACGTTGCCTTCGGTCACCTTGCGTGTGCTGAGTTGTTCCCCTAGTTGCTTACTTTGCTTCATTTTTCTACACGTTGTTGTCCAGGATCATTTCCCTCCTCCTCTTCCTACCAACAATATACAACGTACAGTGTAGGAGTGAGCAGGGCTCCATCTGCTTCTCAGCCGTATGGGACTTAGCAGCTGCAGTTTGGCCTTCACCGTGCTAAATGATCCACAGAATAGGGTTTAGGGTGATTTCATAGTGTTTCGAGGAGCGGTTTCTATCTTGGGAGTAGAATGTTGGAGGTTGTAGGCTTACAGTCATTTGGACACGATAAAATACAAGTTGAGGGATGGATTGGCTCAGCCTTACCTTGGATGTTTGGGCAGCATTGTGTAGGGCCTTGACTCTGTTCTGGCGTGCTAGAACACGAATGTGCTTTACGGAGCATTGAACGCACCAGTGCAGTGGTGGGTGCTCCAGCAACTCCCCAGATGCTGCCAGAGTTATGTGAATGGTGTCTGTTGTGAACGGGAGATATCCCATGCAAGGACAGTGAGGCCAAAGAAGAATGAGGAGGGGTTATTCTGACAGAGGTTGGAAGAAGAGAGTCCTCTGCTTTTGAGGGGTTTGGAACCCAAAGGCTCTATTTCCTCTTTGAATTTTGAGTGTATAGAGAAGAACACCCCCTCACATCTGCTATACTGCTTGCTACATATAGTTTTTCTCAGCCATTTATCAGGATTGTCAGTAAAGCTGTCAAGAGAACCTTTGACATCAGCTTCATAAAGCGAATATGATGTTGGAAATTGCCTCAGGTAATTAATTAATTCTTCTGTAAATAGAAGGCTTGATATGCATCAATGGTGCTATGGGATGTTTCTCAAGAGGGAAATAAACTCTCCGGCAGGGCCCGTAGCGAGCAGTGAAGCACTCTTCGTATGCAGGAGACTCATTATCCTTCCAGTTTAATTCTACAAGGAAACAAAAATACAATCTTCATCTTGGCAGATTATATTAGAGGGAAAGTACAGCTGTTGACGAATCCCTCAGGGACGTGCATGTCAGCTTGAGAGCGCTCAGGTGAATACGCATTTCTCTGGTTACAGGATAGGAACAGCACAACCTGCCCAGCCCGGCTGCACGCTGCCACGCTTCGTCGTGCCTGGGGTCTTCAAGTTAGGAGTTGGTAGCACCGTACAGTCACGTCAGCGCTGCAAGGGGTCTTCCTGCGCTAAGTCCCAGAGTGCCTCTTTGCACGGGGTGTCGGAAGGAGAAGTCCAGAACGTGGCGTGTTTCCTGCCTGTGGTGCTCTCCAGGCGCAGATAAGACTCGCAGTGGTGCTGACAGAGCTGGCCTCCCGTCCGGCAAGTTGGGAGGACATCATTTGTATGGTGTATTTGCTTGCTTTTCAGCACATGACCTGAACAGATATTCCCCGATCTATTTTCAAAGCAATCTTGTTTAATCAGTGTTAAAATTGTTTCTCAATACACTGGTAAACACAATGGTTTTTTCAGTGATGTTTTAATTGGATTTGATTGGCACAGAGAAGTCACTTCCTTTAAAATAAAAGTAATATATTTAGGGATTTGAGCAGTATAGAAGGAGTACAGAAAGAAAAAGAATATGCTGCTTTTTATTGCTAAAACTGTCTTCTCCACTGACTCTTAGGTTTGGAGGGGCACTTTGGCTCGCCTTCGCTATAAGAGGACAAAGGCTGCCCTCACGATACTCAAGTATTACCGCCGCTACAAAGTGAAGGCCTACATCCGTGAGGTTGCCCGACGCTTTCACAACGTGAGGCTAATGAAAGACTATGGCAAGCATGTGCAATGGCCCACTCCGCCGAAAGTGCTGCGCCGATTTGAAGAGGCTCTCCAGACCATTTACCATAGGTACAAAGAAAACCTCACGTCTTTTCAGTCTAACCTAGAGGAGTGAACAGCTGCTGCTTGTTCCATAAAAGTTGGAAAAATGACTGAAGAACATGAACTGGACGTGATAGATTAAGAAATCAGTGGCTTTGGTATCCTTGACCAGGCAAATAATTATTCTGTTTCAAAGATTTAGTCAGGATGGATGTTGTATTTCCTTCCTTGGCCCCTTTCTGGTTGGTTTCAAAAGAAGAGAGCCGCTGCTGTTAGACAGGGGAGAGAAAAGGAACCTTTTCGACTTTGTCAAGACTTCTTATAGTAAGTCAGTACTTTTCTGCAATAGAATAAGCGATGTTCTACCATCCACCTGTATTCTATGTGCAGAAGAGGTATATTATACTTTTATTACTACTCCTAATATCTAAAAGCTAGTGACTGTTTCTCTGGTAAGTTGTAGGCAAGGAAGTTTCAATTCCAGTGTGAAAAATTCTGAAAGTTACTGAACAAGAGAAAAGTTGGCTGGATAGGGCCGCTAGAGATCTCCAGTCCAGCCATCTGCTTGAAGGGGGATTACCACCAGCACTAGATCAAGTCAGCCTTGGTTTTTTCCCCAGGTGTCTCTTGAAAGCCATCCACAACCTATATGGGTAGAGAGTCCTGCTTTCTGCGTAAGCTCAGTTATCATAACTACAAAATTTTAGTTGCTAAAAATCTTTTCGTAGCATTAATCTTGGAGACCTGGTGTTGCTGCTGAAGGCTGGAGTGTGGTGTGGAGTAATGGATGATCTACCCTGCCCTCTTTCATGTTACAGTTGGTTAGGTTTCAACTGTAGGGCCAAATTCAGCTATTAAAGGAGAATGATGTTTTAAATGAGCCAAAAAATAGGCTTGCGAAAACTTTATTGCAAACAGATGTGCCGGTAGGGGTAGGGGATGGGGAGTATACCAGCCGAACTTGTTAGGAGTCAGAGATGATATGTGACTTTAAAATGATAACTGATGTTTCCAGCTTTATGAATGCAATGGAAGGACTTCTTTTCCCCTGACATTGATAGTCTAGGGGTGCCCTTGTTGTGCTGATCTGGCAGAAGGAGTCCTCATAGTCCAGACTGTGGAACTGATTCAGGCGTTTTGCGGCAGGTGGAGAGCAGGTGAACTCATCCGGAGCGTTCCACCAGAAGTCCTACCTCAACTGAGGGCCAAGGTTGCTGCCATGGAAGTGCTGAAGGGTCACAGAGCTGATATTGGCCTACAAAGAGCATGGGAGGGGAATTACATCGCACTGGTGAGTACAAGTGAAGTGATCGATGCAATGGCTGTGGGGCTTAGGGTGCTAAAAGGGTGGAAAATTGAAAAAGTGGCTATAGGGTTCTTGGGAGGGAGAAGTACTTTGAAATTTCCATTTCCTCTGTAAATGGGTTTATATAGTTTCAGAGTCTTTGACTTCTTCTGCACTAGGGGTGATTTTTCTGAATACTAAGCCTACCTTGAGCATGACAAGCAGCTTTAAAAGATAATGAGTAATGCCATCAGCTGGCTCTTCAAATGGCCAAAGCTGGGAAAGAAGTCGATGTAAAACTAAAATTCTAGATATAATGGGATGTTAAGAAATAGCATAAAATGCAAAAGAACAAAGAAATTCTCTCTAGGCAAGTTGCATTGCTTCCTTTTACTCCGTCCTTCCTTTAAGCATTTTGTTTTGTTAAGGCTTTTTTTCAGAAAGCATGTAAAACTCCAGATGCTCTGCCGCTCTTCAGCAAGGCAGAGACTGGAGGAAACCTTCAGACGAGGTGGTGCAGCTGCAGTCCTCTCTGGCCCGCCATGACGTAATGCAATTATTTTCTTCAGTAAGCAAGAAGAGTTATGTGCCTGTCTTTGCTCTTTCAGAAACCAGATAACCCTCAGACCACAGGCTCTTTCATCCCTGTTGCCAATGAGCTGAAACGGAAAGACAAGTACATGAACGTTCTCTTCTCCTGTCACGTCCGCAAGGTAACCGGCATGTGCGTGGTCCGCGGACACATGGGCTGGGTGGGGAAACTTCTTGTGGTCGAGGTGGAATCCTGGGAACCCAAGGGCAAGGAGGTAATCCTGGAGATGCTTTAACAGATGGCAGTTCAAAGCCGTCCTGTTTCAGTGTCAGTGATTTTTTGATGGATACATAACTCTGAACCTATTGCACCAATGGGTGCTTGGTTTGAGTGGCATCTGTGGCCTCTTCATGTTGGAGGCATGAATAAATTCACTTGATTCCATGTAACTGGTTTGGGTCTGACTTTTTTCATAGCAGAATGGTTTTTTTGTGAAATTGGTTGGAAGGTTTAAAAAAACTAATTAGGAAAATGTGCTTGCATTTTTTTTTT